TGAAGAATTCGGTGATGGTGAGGCTGTTGGGGAAATGGAGAGATCAGGCACAGTGTCCTCAGTGTCCCCTGGCCCCTCCACCACCATGCCACCACCCTCCACAATGTACTCGGAGAGCTCAGGGAACTGGTGGATGAAGCCATCCCAGTCGGGCACAGCAGGGATGGTGCCATGTCTGTGCATGGTGTCAAACGATGGCTGGAGCCGATGGGTGAAGCTGGTGTCCGCTGCCTGCTGCGGAAAGGCTTCGGCGAGGGCGGCTGGTCCCTGCTGGGACACCTGCATGGGCTGCGCCAGAGCTGCTGGGGGGGTCACTGGTGCTGCAAAAGCAAGCAAAGGGGAGGCAGGCTGAGGGCGATGCAAGCTTTGCTCAGCTTGGCTGCCTGCGCTCAGGCTCCTCAGCCCCCCAGGCCTCACCTCTGGGCTTCGTGGTCGCCGGCAGAGGCGGGGCAGGCAGGTGGGGCCTGGCGGAGGCGATGGTGTCCGCCACGGCTGCCCCGTCCTTGGTGGAGGCCGCCTCCTGCCCGTGGGCGCAGGGGAGCTGTGCCGCGGGTGGCAGCGGCAGCGCAGAGGGGAGCTGCAGCCGCTGCCCCGGGGCCCCGGGGGGCCCTGGCTCCCCCTGCCAGGGGCCCTGGTGGGGGCCAGGCTGGTCCTGGGCAGGCCCCAAGGACAGCGGCAGCCCCCGGAGAGGGGGTAAAGCGCGGGTCGCGATCGGTCGCCGCATGGCCAGAGCATCGGAGCTCAAACCAGACACTTCCATTGCCATTGGCCGGTGGAGGGGAAACCTCTCTGTTGGGAGAAGCAGAGAGAGGTGCTGGGGTGAGAAACTGGCAGGCCGAGGCGGCTGGGGGTTACCTGTGGGGCAGGAGCCCCGGGAGGAGCGGGAGCTGCTGCTGTACCTGCCATGACCGTGGGTCAGTGTCAGTTGGGCTCGGGCCAGCGGCCCCTCCCCAGCAGGACCCACCCAGCTTTCCACCAATCCCGGCTGCTGCAGCAGCCGCGCGCCCGACGGAGCCCGACAGCTTCCCCTGGCCGTGCTTTCCTCCCCTGCTGGGGATTCCCTGCCCTAAATCACGGTTTCCCAGCCCGCAATGGTCTCCCATCCCAGTGATGTTTCTTAGGGCCGTGTGTGCTTCCCAGTCTTGCTGGGGTGGCGCTGGGAAGGGGCCTTGTGGCACTTTTGGGCTGTTCTTGTCCTCGCCCCTCTCTGGTGTGGGCCAGAGCTCAGTCTCGCTCGCTCTCAGGACAGCTTGACCCTCCCTGCATGGCGTCTTTGCTGGCTCTTGTCACCCTGTCACTGGGGCTTGGGACCCTGGCTGGTGGGACCCATAGGGCACGTTATGGAGCTTCCCTGCCCCCTAACTATGAGGTCAGCCAGTCTTGATAGTGTTAATGTGTATATATGTGTGTGTATATACATATATATCTATCCGCACATGCATATCTCTATGTGCAACTACATATATATATAGCTACCCATGTATATGTACTTATAGGTCTTCCCCATCTTTCTCTTTATGGAGTTATCCATAGAGTTCTCGGAACTGTTTTTGAGTCAAGTTTAGAAATTTTTTTCTTCACAGCAGATCTGTAAGTAATGTTAGTGGTGGCAGGAGCTGTGTCAGCTGTCAGTGAAACCCTTCCATTTCATGACTGGGAATCCTGTGTCCCTCTGCGGTTTGCATCACTGTTCCTAGTCATTCTTTTCTGCTTCCTGTGGCAATGTCTCTGCAGTAAGCAGAGGATGGGAGATGGTTTCTGAAGTGTTCCAGTGACCTGCTTTACCTCTTCTGCTTGCTCTTCTTTGAGCAGAGACTGTTTTTGTCATTTCTTGCTCCTTCCTAGATCCAGAGGAGCTGTTTCACAGTGGTTTGTTTGGACATACGTGGTCCTTCTATCTTCAATGACTTGATTTGCTTGGTACAGTATTTGCAGACAAAAGAGAAGAGTAAACTTGCCTCAATAAGGCTGAGGCACAGGTTTTAGTTAGAGCCACATCCCTGGTTTCTCTCCCAGTGTTTTTTAGCTTTCTAAAGCAACTGAAGACCTGACAGTATGGGATCAGCTTGGCAGCAGTCCTGTTTGCCACCAGCTGTTTGTAATAGATAGTCCCCTAAGCCATGTTTTTCTTGTCTTGGAGCAGGATTTCTAGTGACATTTTGAAGCACTTTCTGAGGCTGGGTATGTTCTTCTGAGGTGTCACTTCATGGGGTTTCTGCCTATCTTTCTGAGCAGTTTTCAGTGAGATGTGACCTTTGAGAGCTCTGTGTTTATATTGTGCTGCTGGGCACAGTACCTGTATGAATACCCTCTGCTGTTCCTTGCCTGCTTTCAGCTCACCCGCTCCCTTCAGTGTTGTTTCTGGGCAGCCCTGGCTCCTGACCTGCCAGCTCCTGACTGCTCGGAGGTTTTTGGGTGTCAGGGCCATCCTGCCTCCTCCCTGGCTCCCCATGCTGGCTGCTGTGGGCTACACTTGAGCAAAGACACTGCTGTCAGTGAGCTTTCTGGTATGAGGAAGAGCACAAGAGGAAAGACAGGCTTCAGTGGCAAAGCTGATTTGAGTAGGAGCTTTATGGCCGGAGGTGGGGCTTGGCTGAGGGTTTGTCATCCACTGCCAGGGATGGGGGAACCACAGCTTCTCTGAGCACCCTGTGCCAGCGCCTCAGCACCCTCCCAGGGAAGAGCTTCTGCCTAAGAGCTCAGCTCAGTCTCCCCTTGGGCAGGTTCAAGCCATTCCCCTTGTCCTGTCCCTACAGGCCCTTGTCCCAAGCCCCTCTCCAGCTTTCCTGCAGCCCCTTTAGGCACTGGAGCTGCTCTAAGGTCTCTCCTTCAGGAGCCTTCTCTTCTCCAGGCGGACCCAGCCCAGGTCTCTCAGCTGGCTCCAGAGCAGAGCTGCTCCAGCTCTTGCAGCATCTCCATGGCCTCCTCTGGGTTGACTCCAACAGCTCCATGTCCCTCTTGTGTTGCTGCCCCAGAATAGAATAGTTCTTACAACTGTTCTTGCATAATTTGTAAGGGAAGATCAGGTAGACTGTGTGTGCTGACGGAGATTGTTAAAGGAAGTGTCACAGTTACTTTTAGAATCCAGGCTGTCTAACATTTTCAGCCTTAACTGTCTGCTTGTGCTTCCTCTTCAAACCTCATCAGTTACACTTTCTGATAATCAGTTATGTTGGGTCAGAGAAAGAGAATCCAAATTCCAGTGTCTCTGCGTTTCTGTTTACCTGGGTAGGTTTTAAGATTAACATGTTCTTGCTGAAGAAGGAGATTTTGTGGTTGATGGGGAGCAGAATTGTATTAGCAGTGAAATGTGCCAAGACCCCATGTTACGGACTTTGATTATTAGCGAGATACTAAGAAGTTTGGATTCAGCTCTTACATTTCTTGAAGTCCTTGCTGTGAGTCTGGATTTTTTTATTTCGGGCCATTGTGATTTCAGCATATCAAAATGATGTCATCTTGCCTCTCAGTTTTCCTGTTTCTTCTTCTTCTCCTTCACCCTCTTCCTTGCATTTGGTGTGATTTTCCCAGGGCCTCTTGAGTTTGTGTTTTCTTTTTCTTTGAAAGATTGCCTTCCTTCTGCATCCATGCTTTTCAGTGCTTTACAAAACACCCATCTATCACAGAAACACAAGGGAAAAAAACATTTTTGTAGGAGCAAGTTTCTGGTTTCTGTTGATATAGTTTAGAGTATCTGGCTGTTCACTGCTCAGAATTGATCAAAATGGTTATCCGGCTCCTCACAGTGTCACCCTGCTGGAATAGGGAAGTCAATAGGTTAGGAGTGAGGCAGGGCTTTTCAAACTCAATCTTCTGGGAGCTGCAAGAGGCCAGCAAAGAAATACATCAGCAGCAGCATCAGAACCAGCATGTGGAGAGGGCTGTGTTTGATTAAAAATTATCATGCCTGGCTGCTGACACACAAATTCCTCCCAGTCTTGGTATTTTCTTTAGCTTTCTCCAAGGGTGAGTGTCTGTGCACACGTAAAGGAGAGCCTTTCAGCAGAATTGAATCAAATAACTCATAATGTTTTGCTTTATTGCTAGCATTTGTCACCTTGATGCATCTGCAAAGACATGAGTCGAGACACAATGTGCTATGAAATAACGGCTTGATGAGTCAAAATGTCAGTTCAACATCAAGTGCCATGGTTAATACAGTGCAAGCTTCCAGGTTAACAAACTCATAAATTGCCTTAGTATATATTTCCTTCCCTAAATTCAGCCTGCTCTTCCTTCCTAGAAGAGTAATTGTCTTCGTTACATTAGTTCTAGTCAAGGTATTGCTGATGCTTGCAAGCCTCGTGCATTTGGGCTCCTAACATGGTTTGGTCTTCTTTTTAACACATTTTAACTTTTCTAAGTTTCTAGTGCCAAGGTATATGGATTGGCTTGAAAGAGGAAAGGGCCATGTAGGCAGACAACAGCTGTGAATTGGGTCCCTTTGTGGTACTAGTTCTTTATTGAATGTGCTGTTGGGTATGGCAGGAGAGTCTTGCTGCTGCTGCATTGTCACTGTGCTGCTGGTTACAGGGCCTGTTTTATCACAGGTTATAAAATCATATATGAAAACCCAGTATTTTTATTTTTATTTTTGAAGTTATCTAATTAAAGTGCTTTTAGTTGGTCCACAATCTGTTTGTGTGCATATACACCTGAAATTTTAATACCCTTTCTTTCTGTTACCTAACAATGAGCATAGAACACTTAGTTTGAGCTCTTCAGATGGCTGTTTTGTTTTCTGGTTTCTAAGGGAATCACTGACTTTCCTATTGAAACTGTTTTTCACAGAATCCCAGCCTGGTTTGGGTTGAAGGGACCTTAAAGCTCCTCCAGCTCCAACCCCCTGCCACAGGCAGGGACACCTTCCTCTAGAGCAGCTTGCTCCAAGCCCTGTCCAAGCTGGCTTTTAGCACTGCCTGGCTGGAGCAGCCACAGCTTCTTTTCTACTGCAGAAGCCAGGTAAAACCACTCCTCCTTCTCTTTCTGCTCTTTTATAGGCTCCTTCATGATGGTGAACAGCTCTGGGCGAGCATCTGGACAGAAAGCTCACCTGCTCTTGCCTACACTGAAGGAAAATGACACCCACTGCATTGACTTCCACTATTACCTGTCCAGCCGAGACCGTTCGAGTCCTGGCTCTCTGAACGTCTATGTGAAGGTGAATGGAGGACCACAGGGCAATCCCATATGGAATGTCTCGGGGGTTGTTACAGAAGGATGGGTGAAAGCAGAACTTGCCATCAGTACGTTCTGGCCACATTTTTATCAGGTATGAGTTTGGAATGTTTTTCCTTAGCACGTTTGGCTCAGTATGAGCTAAGCTATTGTTAGCAATGGATATTCTGAAAATCATTTACCTCTTGCTCTCCTTCCCCACTCTCAAGTCTGACAGCAACTTTGCTATCATTGTTTTAGTTTTAATTAGGTAAATTGTTCACAATGGACTCACATACTAGGTCTGGAACATGTGTGGCAGGGGGGTTGGAACTGGATGAGATTTAAGGTCCCTACCAGCCCAAATCAGTCTGTGATTTTATGAATAAGATACCGGTGTGAGAGTGGGATTAGGATAGAACAAACTATGAAAAGTCCACAAATAGTCTGTGGATAGGAAACAGCAGGTAGAAATGCTTGCTTTTGTTTTTTCTTTATTTACTTCTAATAACTGTGTTGCAGGTCTGTAAAATCAGAGCTGAAGTACAATGTTTTCATGTTCTACGTCTGGAAAAGAGTTGGGGGTAGCAGCAGCATATATAGAACCACACTGTGCAGGGTGAGAGGGAGGGATAAAGGGATTTAAACGGGTGAAAGGGGTCTTTTAAGGGCTGTGCGCAACTTGGCCCTTGTTCTGAAATCATAGCAAAATGCTTATACTCCATTCAGATTAACATGAACCTCATCATGAACCAGAATTTGCTTCATAGTAGGTGCTCCACAGCGGTAACAGGAATGAGCTTTCACCCAGGTAATCAGTGCTTTAAAAACCTGGAAGAGACAGTCTGACCTCACTCCATGAGAGCTCCTGTCCTTAGCAATGCCAATAGCAGATTGCCTGAACCTGCCTTACTTCTTTTGCAAGTCCTTTTGCAGGTCAAGTTTGCTTTTCCGGAGCAAAAAAATCCTTTAAATCAAACAAGATTCTTTTCACTGGGGTGTAAAATGAACAGATTGGAGGCAGCAGCAGGTGCTCAGGAGTAATTCCTCCCTAGAAATGCAAGGGTTTTCTGTTTTACTTTTTGCTGAAGAGGGTAATGTTTCCTTCTGATTATATTTGTATTCTTTCTCCTTAAGTGTGGCTTTGAGATTGATCCCACTGTTACAGAGTCATAGAATGGTTTGGGTTGGGAAGGACCTTAAGATCATCCAGTTCCAACCTCCCTGCCATGGGCAGGGACCCCTTCCACTAGAGCAGCTTGCTCCAAGCCCCTGTGTCCAACCTGGCCTTGAACCATGCCACGGATGGGGCAGCCACAGCTTCTCTGGGCACCCTGTGCCAGCGCCTCAGCACCCTCACAGGGAAGAACTTCTGCCCAAGATCTATCCTGAACTTCCCTTGTTTCAGTTTGAACCCGTTATCCCTTGTCCTGTCACTCCAGTCACTCATGAAGCGTCCCTCCCCAGCATCCTTGTCACCCCCTTCAGATACTGGAAGGCTGCTCTGAGGTCTCCACGCAGCTTCTCTTCTCCAGGCTGAACAGTCCCAACTTTCTCAGCCTGTCTTCATACAGGAGGTGCTCCAGCCCCTGATAATTCTTGTGGCCTCCTCTGGACTTGTTTCAACAGGTCTGTGTCCTTCTAAAGGTGGGAACACCAGAACTGCACAGTGGTTTATTAGAGTTATGAGGAATCTAATTGACTGGCCTATCCTTGGTCCCTGATTTCATAAACTGCTTCTGTTGATAGTCTGCTCTCCTGTGAGTTTTTACATTTAACCAAGGTTAAAAAAAGAAAAAGAAAACTGTAAGTTTGCAAAGGTGAGGAGGAAAACACAGTGAAGGACTTAGTCAAAATTCCTGTTATTTGGCAGCCTTCAGTGATACTTAAGACTGAGGGAGTCTGGAGGTACAGGTTGACACAAGCCTGGGTGTGCTGTTTGCTAGGTAGTGTTCTGTTTCACACTTCCACTCTAGGATGTACCATCAGAACATTGTCAGCTTTAAATGAAAATTGTGTGCCTGGAGAAATCTTTGAATGCAAAAAGGTCTGAAAGCATGGTCTGTGTTATCAAAAGCACCAGGGAACACTAGGCAACACAGGAAAGCAAAACGTGGGTCGTTCTCTTAATGTACAGAAACCACCATCTTGAATTGCAGAGTGCATAAAAAACCTAGTCAGGCAAAAACTGCCTGCCCTGAGTCTGAGGCTTCCACACCTACTTTGGTCTTTGAAGATGGGACTAGTGGAATACTAGTAACTAGTTGCCAGAGTTCATGTTTTGGGGCTGGTAGTTCTGTGCAAGGGTCACAGGAGTCATCTAGATCCAAAAGCACTCTGCTGAGCTATAAGTGGTGGTGGTGGTGGAGATTTATGATGTCTGCCCTGGAGTTACTCGTACGTGGATTCCCAGCCTGCAGATGTTCTGAGAGTAGTGAGAAAAAGCTGTAATAGTTCATGGAGAAAGGTAATACATGTAATCTTGAGTTACTGCTTGCCATAAGGATGAGCTTGGTCCCAGAATGCACCAAGGGCAGTGCAGGAGTCTGCCTGGAAGAGGTTTTTTGATGTATAGCAAGGAAAGTTATTGATCCATGCCTGAAGAAAACTGTTGTACCACAACAGATGAGCCAGGCTAACACAGGCGCTGTTGGTATAGAGCAGCAGTGAAGTGTAGGATTATTTATTGGGAAGGAAACATGAAATGACTTTGTATTTCCAGGTCTGCCAAGCATTTAAGAATGTTTTTTCAGAGTAAAGATTTGTATTTTTTCATCTGTATTAAATTTTGGGAAGTTTCTTAAATGTAAAGCATTGTTAAAGGCCCGTGTCTCAACCATTGCACTGCATTTCCAGCGGAAGGTAAAAGGATATGAGAGATACTCAGTGTGAAATTTGCAGAGCTGAGCCTCATCAGCCTTTATTCCTGCCTCAGGAAATTCCTCCTCAGTTCTCAGGAAAACCTGGATGTTCCCGTGCTTTTCTTGCTTTGGTAGGGCTGAGATGCTGCAAGATACAGACAAAGACAACATGGATGTTTGAACTGGGAAATAACAGGAATATCCATGTGTAAAGCAGAATAGATAATAGCTTAGTCTGTCAGAACAATGCTGTGAGGCTTGAGAGGATCCTCCACCCTTCCCAGTGGATTCTGCACCAGTGTGCATGGGTTTTGTAGGAGCTGACTCTGTTACCAGTATAAGTTGTATTGTGCTGCATTGAAGACTGAATATGTAATCAACAAAGGCAGTTCTCTGTGTATCGGTGCTTCCAGTTGCCATGCACTAAATGCCAATGTCTTGGAGAACTTTTCTTTCAAAGCTCTTGGCTTGCAGCAAATTGGGATTTAGTTCATTGTGGCTTTATAGCTTCTTGGTAACACAAAACGAAAAGAGATTTTGCAGCTGTAATGTTGCACTGGAATTGAAGGCTGAAGGGAGCTGCAGTTCCTTCCATGCCCTCCTCAGGAAGTGTAATTTTTGTCATGAATGACATCTCATTTCTAAAATTATTATAATTTCCATAATAAGGGCTTGCATTATACCTTTATACACTCCCTCAAAAGCATATTAAGAGCCTTGATAACAAAACACTTAGGTGTTTTTATTGTTACTATTTTGTCTTTCAGAGACTCGCTTCCTCCTATTGTTCCTTGGGCAATTGTTCCTTCCTGGTTTTTGTCCACCCTCCTCTGGAGTAGAACTTTGTTTCTATGTATTTAAGCATTTCATCTTTTCTTAGTTTATAACTTTGCCTGTTAAATTTTGTGTTCTACCTGGTTTTATGATGTCTTTTTTCCTAATGGGTGCATTTCTGAACATCTCACATTTGGATGCGTTCTGAATTAGAGAAGCAGACCTTAGGAAGTCATGGAAACATGAACAGAAACTGCACTCTGGAAGCCCAAATGCGAAGCTAAATGATTGAGGGCAGTTCTGTACTTGCAAAGGACATGCTGCTCACTTTCATAACCAGGGTGTGCAGTGACCAGCTTTTGGGCAGCTGAATCTTTTCCTGGTTTATATCTGATGAAGGAACTTAAGAAGAGGCTACACAGTGACAGGCTGGGGATACCAGCTTTCAGTTACAGTGAAAGTAAGTGTTGAAAACTGGCTTTAAGTAGTTAACTTCTTGTTCAAGTGATGAATATTAGAGGTTACAAATTACTGAAGGATTTTCTTACGTGACACGAGTATCTGCACTGGAATCCTGCTCTGATAGAGGTAACAGTGCCAGCTGAACATGTTAATTCACTCTGTCCTTGCGAACATTATTGTATACTCATGCATACATGAGCAGTTTAGAACAGTGTGAACATTACTCTGGGAAGAGGGAATGAAACTGAGGACATGTTTCAAGTGCAGAGGATGGCATCCGTTATGTCTCCATCCATTAATTCTTTTTCAGAGTAGTAACGGATTCCTTTGGGAGGAGAATCACTGAGAGGTAGTACCACCAGCACATTAAATAACCAGGCTGCAGTTTTCAGTTTTCTCTTGAAGTTCAATATTTCTAAATTTCCCTTTTCCTCATAGGATCACAGGATAGCTCAAGTTGGAAGGGATCCATAGGGATCATTGAGTCCAATTCCCTGTTCCTTTGCAGGACTATGAGTAGTCCAGATCATGTGTGAACTCTCGCCAGCTCAGTGCCCTGACCACTGTGTTGGAGGTTACAAATTAGGGAAAGATTTTCTTCTATGAAACAGGTAGCCCGGGGGGCATGTCCAGAGGCAGACCAGTGTCTCGGTGAAGAGCCTTTTCCTACTGAAAAGTTCCTATAGAACTTCCCCTGATGCAGTTTCATTCCATTTTATAGAATCACAGAATCCCAGCCTGGTTTGTGTTGGAAGGGACCTTAAAGCTCATCCAGTTCCAACCCCTGCCACGGGCAGGGACCCCTTCCACTAGAGCAGCTTGCTCCAAGCCCCTGTGTCCAACCTGGCCTTGAACACTGCCAGGGATGGGGCAGCCACAGCTTCTCTGGGCACCCTGTGCCAGCGCCTCAGCACCCTCACAGGGAAGAGCTTCTGCCTAATGTCTAATATAAATCTATCCTCTTTCAGTTTAAAACCATTGCCTCTTGTCCTGTCACTAGTCACCAGAGGGTAGCTCAGCACTTCCCTTCACTGCACCCTCTGAATAAGGTGTAGGCTGTGATTATATGTCCTAATATCCTTTAATTATTGATCAAACTGTGCATATTTAGTGCTATAACTGTGCATATTTAGTGCTGTTTTCTCCTGAACTTTTGGTTAGCTTATTTGTCAGTGGTTAACCTAATGATCTCTTTATCATTTGTTTAGGTTTTACTAGCACTGCTGACTCTGGGATAGCTTGTATATTTTTGGTAACAGGATAATTCAGGGCAGTTTTCCAGGTAAAATCACAAAGCCATAGGGAAGAATGAGATTTTGGTTCATGTGTAATTTAGTATCTGTCTATTCAGACGCAAACTAGTGGAACACTTTCATTGCCCAGCTACATACATAATATAGAAATTGCTAGTTAGTGTACCATTAATGTAGAGAAATACTACATGTGGGTTTTGTGAATATTCATTCTCAGACTGTGTTAGTTCAAGCCATGGAAAGGCAGAAACATCTTTATTATATCTTTAAGAATCCTATTTCATGACAGTAACTGGAACTCAGGATCAGCAATTGCTGATGATTTGCTTTCCAGTACTGAAGTGGTATGTGTGCCAAATGAAGATGTTCTCCAGGAGGATCCATTCAGGGGTTTTGACTCAATTGGAGTACATGTATAGCATTCTCCAGCATTCCTAGGCATACTAAGAACAAGGTGATTATCCACCTAATGTTCTTAGACTGGTGCTTAAAGTAAATGTAGGTGTGAATATACACAGTCTATTTTTTGCTCTTCCAAATGCAAGCAGCACATAGTTGCATAGTTGTCTCTAATCTTAATGAGTGTTGCTCTAACTTTTTTCTTTTCATATTGAACATATTTCCAGTCTTTGGTATACCTGTACAGACTGTATTGCCTGGTATCCCTTTGTTATTCCTGATGAAATGCCTTGAATGACTCAACCACTGGAATAAGAGCAGAACTTGGTGATTGGCCATGTGTATTTTTTCTTCTTAAGAAAAATTTTCTTGTTTTGTGTTTCAGGTGATATTTGAGTCTGTCTCTTTGAAAGGACACCCAGGGTACATAGCTGTGGATGAAGTCAGAGTTCTCGCCCATCCATGCAGTGAGCACTCTTTGTTTTTCTAACCATATCGGTGTGTTATTACCAAGCTTTACAGTCTAAAGGAGTGATTTACCCAATTTGGTCAGCACTAAAATGTCATCTTGCGTCCCTCTGAGGCACCTAAAGACAATCAGCTTTGTATAATTATCTAACTTAGCAAGTTGTTCAAGAGGCAAATGTGCTCTCAGGCTATAGCTAGCGCCAGGCCATCTGTGGAAGTCTTTTTTCCTCTCTTGTTATGAGAACATAAAATTGATTGTTTTATTATTTCTGAATCATATTGATGTAGAAAACAATTTGAAAAGCTTCTGATGATACCCTGTGTGGATAACTTCAGGAACAAATAGTTTCAGTATCTCCTTGGTAAAGGACATATCCTAAGGGTCTCTCAACAAAGGTTAAACCCACTCAGCCCATAAAGATATTATAACTAAATCTGAGTCAGACAATACACTTGCACAGGAGTAGAAACTAAAGCAGGTTCATTATAATGTTCAAAAATATTAATGCCATGTTTCCCCTACTGCAGCTGTAATAATACACTTAGATTTATAGTTTTTTTTCTATTTAAAGAACCTTGAGCCTCAGTCTTTTGAGTCTGAACTTGTTTGGTTTCTCTGTGCATCTACAGTGTGGCTTGAGGAATTTGTGTGTCTGTTTTGTGGATGTTATATCCAGTTTCTTCTAAAGATTTAATTTGTTTTAACAGCCTTTAGCAGCCACTCTCACTGGGTCATAGTTTTAGTCAGTCCATGACAGCTGCTCACACAAAAATTCATGGGTCATATCGATGGAGTGAAATCAACTGATTTTCTTGCAGTGAGGATTTCAGAGAACAGCTGCCACTCAATGTGACAGATATGGTTCTGCTCAAGTTTAACAGGACATCCCTGATAACTGCAGTATGGTTAATTGCTGCTTAACTGAATTAGATTTGTATTTACCATGTGCTCATTGCGCAGGCCTTTGGGTGTAGTTACTTCATTAAGAAATACTTAGAATCTGTATGAGCCAGATGTTCCTGATAACAGCAGCATCCAGACAGATCCCCTAAATGGTCTGTGTGTGTTCCAGAGCCTGTTGGGCAATGACCTCTAGCAGCCTTCCAGTATCTGAAGAGGGGCTATAGGGATGCTGGGGATGGACTATTCATTAGGGACTGTATTGATAGCACAAGGGGTAACAGGTTAAAACTTAAACAGGGGAAGTTTAGATTGGATATAAGGAAGAAGTTCTTTACTGTAAAGGTGCTGAGACACTGGAACGGGTTGCCCAGTGAGGTTGTGAATGCTCCATCCCTGGTGGTGTTCAAGGCCAGGTTGGACAGAGCCTTGGGTAGCATGGTTTAATGGGAGGTGTCCCTGCTCATGGCAGGGGGGTTGGAACTTGATGATCTTAAGGTCCTTTCCAACCCTAAGTATCCTATGATTCTATAACCAATCCCTTCACTTAGAGGCAGGCCAGTGTGGGGCAGAGCCTGGACAAGGTTTGGGATTTAAAACCAGAGACAGGATGCTCTGTTACACTCCTACTTAATTTAACTGAAGTATTCAAACTGGTTTTAAATCCATTTCTCCAAGTATATGCACTCTTAAAAATTAAGTGCATTCTTGGTGACTCAAACTAGAAGTGAGTCAAACAGTTAGCTACTCCGTTTTGAATTGTTTTGCAACCTGAAGCATACAGCACCCCGTACAAGCTGCAGGGTCTTTGTAAAGGCTTCTCCTGTCTGATATTTCAGTGTTGCTTTTGTGCTGAGCAATAACAGCCACCAGGATAAATGTCACCAGAGTGTGTTCCGTTGACTTGTACAAGCTTTTCCCCTCATACTTGTTTTGCAATTGTTAGAACTCAAGCCATGGGGACCATGGTACTCCTGATGACCCTCGTGGTTACTGAAATTACTGGTGTTATTCATTTCTGCTTTACCTTCAGAGATGACAGCACAGCAGGCAGACCTAAGTAGCAGCAAAACCACAATGAAGTGCCCCTAATGACACAGTAATGGAGACAAATAAGTATTTCACTGGTCTTGCCTTTTTTTCTGTCCTGGGAAGGAATGCAGTGCAGTATTGATTCTCATGATGCTAAATCACAGCAACTGTATGTGCAGTCACAGGCCAGCCCCGTGCTCTGGTCGAGGAGTCTGAAATTCATGTGGCTGCATTCACCCACTCCAAACAGCTCCATATGTGAAGCTGGCTTATATCTGCCCACACAAGCCTGCAGGCAGAAAGTACTAGAATTAGCCTGCAAATAGCATGTAGTTCATTCTGTCACCCAGAGGTAGTGTTCCAGTAAGCTTTGGTACCAATTGCTGATCCCCAGAGAGCATGATGGTACAGTCACCATCTTTCAGGAGGTGTCAGCAAGATGAGCATGTGGTGAATGGGATAGAGAAACTAGATATAAACATCTGGCGTAGCGTATTGGTCTGTGTTCTCTGTTCATGTTTCTGTAGTACACAAATACTTCTGTGTCAAGCTTACACACAGACACAGATGCCCAAATCCTTCTGAAGCTGTTTCGAAATAGAAAAATATGGGTTAGTGTCCTCTGAAGTGATTGAATTGGTGTCTGGTCATACGAGAAACGCAAAGATGAAGTTGAAAATCTCTGTCCTTTGGAGTCTCTTACGCTTCAGTGTGTCCTGCTTAATGGTTCCAAATGGTGCCCAGACTTTCTTCTGAAGCCCAGGAGGAACTAAGTTCATTTAAAAGTGTCAGATTCATTATTGCAAGCTTTTTTGTTTTCTTGTATGTTAATATACAGAGGTGAATGAGCCTGGTATTTGGTCAAAAAGAGAATCCTCTGCTCTGGTTGCTTTGTGAACAGATGTGCTTTTAATTTTAATATCAGTGGTTTAATATTGAATTAATACTGAATTTAGTATCAGAAAAACTCTGATATCTGCGATCTTAAAGTAATGCAGTGATTCAGTACTGTCAGATGAAAATTTCATTTAATACCTGATTTGGTATTAATGACACATTATTATTCTAAAGGTCTAGGATGTATTTGATAGTCAATAAAATTAAAAGGAAAAAAGACCCTTGGGAAAACTGTCTTTGGGTCAGTTGTGCTTGACAAGCTCAGGAGCGTTTGAGGGGTTTTTTGACCTTTTTTAGAAACATAACTTTCTTGAAGAAATTACTCAATTACTCTTTATAGCAAGCACTGAGAGACTGTGCTGATGCCCACAGACTTGTGATTTGATCTCAGTCTGTGCTTTTAGCTGTGCTAGAGCTCTCTATGGTCCCTCAGGCCATCCTCTGTCACGTCCATCATCCCCATCACTCTCAGTGAGCAGTTAAACACTGAAGGACAGCTTTATTTTACAAAATCCCTTTGTCCAGGATAGGCCATAGTGCTTTGCTGAGTGTTTGTATCTGTTGGTGTGACACAGCCCACCACTGTCTTGCTCTACCCTTGCAATACTTCTCTTTTGTTAGGAAAAGCACCTCATTTCCTCCGGCTGCAGAACGTGGAGGTGAACGTGGGACAGAATGCGACATTCCAGTGCATTGCTGGAGGGAAGTGGTCACAGCATGACAAGCTCTGGCTCCAGGTAATGTGCCTTTTTGTGGGTTTTTGGTTTGTTGGTTTGATTTTGGTTTATTTCTTTTTCCAAGTAAAATAAGTCAATGGAGAAAGACTGGGTGGTGGGGCAAAATCTTCTCATCAGGATCTTTTGAGAACTGCCTTGAACTGCTTCTAGGTGACAGTTTTAGGTGACAAAGTACAGAATTGTGATAGAGAGGATGGGAAAAATGGCCAGTGACAGCAAAAGTTAGGATTCAAATGAATGCTGATGTACCTGTAAGGAGGTCATAAAGCAGAAGAGACAGAACAAGTGGAATAGTTCTTCACTTCTGCTTTATTATGCAGTCTTCTTTCCTCTCACTCTCCAAAAACATCCTCAGCCCAGAGTCAGTGACAAAATGTCAAGAAGGAAACCTACTCTTAAGTTCGGAGATTGATCTCTGGCTGGTGAAACCAGGCAAAACCAGTTTGCAGCCACTGTTTTTCTCCAGTTTGCCTCAGCTGCATTGAGCGCAGATTGTTCCTTTTAGTCCCTCACTAAAAGGTCAAACCATTCCCTTTCTTGATATCTGTATTTTCACCCTGCTGGTTGGACTTCAAAGCATGGGTCCTGCTGTTCAGGTGGGTGTAGTAACAACTTTAAGAACTCATTTTCATTTCTAGAGTTAGAAACGAGACATACATCAAACTGGAATTGTGGAGTGCATGTTTCCTAGGAAAGGAAAAGATTACTTCTTCTGCCCTTTGAAGTGCTGTCATCTGTGAGTCCCAACATTGCCATGCACTATACATAGTGCTCTTGTAGAAGCTCTTAAAATAACTGAGCTCTTCACTGCTTCTAAACTTAGAGAGTCATGGAATGGTTTGTGTTGGGACCTTAAATTTCATCCATTTCCAACCTCCTGCCATGGGCAGGGACACCTTCCACTGGAGCAGCTTGCTCCAAGCCCCTGTGTCCAACCTGGCCTTGAACACTGCCAGGGAATGGGGCAGCCACAGCTTCTCTGGGCACCCTGTGCCAGCGCCTCAGCACCCTCACAGGGAAGAGCTTCTGCCTAAGAGCTCAGCTCAGTCTCCCCTCAGGCAGGTTCAAGCCATTCCCCTTGGCCTGTCACTTCTGTGCTGTTAAACACCTAACATAGAATCATAGAATTATAGAATAGTTAGGGTTGGAAAGGACCTTAAAATCATCAAGTTCCAACCCCCTCTGCCATGGGCAGGGACACCTCGCTCTAAACCATATCACCCAAGGCTCTGTCCAACCTGGCCTTGAACACTGCCAGGGATGGAGCATTCACAATCTCCTTGGGCAACCTATTCCAGCGCCTCACCACCCTAACAGGAAAGAATTTCCTCCTTATATCCAATCTAAACTTCCCCTGTTTAAGTTTTAACCCATTACCCCTTGTCTTACCACTACAGTCCCTAATAAAGAGTCCATCCCCAGCATCCCTATAGGCCCCTTTCAGATACTGGAAGGCTGCTATGAGGTCCACACGCAGCCTTCTCTTTTTCAGGCTGAACAGTCCCAACTTTCTCAGTCGATCTTCATATGGGAGTTGTTTCAGTCCCCTGATCATTCTCATGGCCTTGTTCCAACAGATCCATGTCCTTTTTATGTTGAGGACACCAGAACTGTACACAATACTCCAGGTGAGGTCTCACAAGAGCAGAATAAAGGGACAGGATCACCTCCTTCAACCTGCTGGTCACGCTCCTTTTGATGCAGCCCAGGATACGGTTGGCTTTCTGGGCTGCAAGTGCACACTGAAGCCGGCTCATGTTCATTTTCTCATCAACCAGCCCCCCCAAGTCAAACAAATCAAGAGGAGTCTCTTACTGGATGTACTGTACATGTACATAAATGTGTGCCAACATAAATCGTTCACCAGAATTTAATCCACAGCTTGGCGTGATGTGACTGATGTCTGACAACCCCATTTTTGTGACATCAGAGGCAGCCCAGAATGGCCTTCATTATGGTCTCTGTGGCATGTGTAGTCAAACAATTGAGAGCTTTTTCTCGAGCATTTTTATTGTCTTCAGACGTTTTAATAAACTTGAAAAATAACAATTTCAAATGTAGTTGAATTGCTGGGGGAGGAATCAGTTTACCTAATCACGAGAATGGAAAAGGCTTGAGCTGGAGAGGAAAGCAGTTGGCATTATGTAAAAAGGACTTGACAGGCACTTTAAGTGCACTCTTGTCACAGCTGTTCTCCTAAAAACTCCATTTTAATCTGAAGTTTATTAACCTGTGGTGTACTTTTAGCAGACACTGACATATATTTTTGGCTTATTCTTTATCCTTTTTTGCATTCTTTTAGTGAAATCTTTCTGCATTATGTCTAGGTATGTGTAAAAACACTTCTGACCTGAAGCAGTGCATGAACCTTTTCCTGTGAGAAGCAGGGGCTTGGGAGGAATTTGTTATTGTTGCTGCTGGAAACTTGTTTTCCATTCTCTAAAACTGAAGCACTTAATGAAAATAACATTGGAAACACCCCCAGAAACTCATTACTGGGAACTGGCAAAGCAGCACTGTGTTCTCCTTTGAAGCTCCTAATAAACTAGGCTAGCTGAGCAAGTTAGGTTTTTTTCATGTGAGGCACTTCTGTTTCTTTCTAGTTCTTCATCTGTCCTTTTTCCAGTTGGGAAAATGTAGGCTGGCATTGGCAGAGAGGAGTATTGGAGAAGGTTGAACATAAAAGGACGTCTGCTCATCCAGCCAATTTCTTTGAATTGATCCAGAGTCAAAGTTTTACATCTGAAAATGCCAAGTTTAGGAAATCTGGTCATTTGTAGCATTTTCCCAGGTGTACACAAGCCATTCAGTAGTTTTCTTTTCATATCCTAGCCAGGCTTCTAAATGTACTGAGTATAATTGCACAGTCTGAGCTCGCTCTCTCTAGCCTTTCAGTAAATAATAATGCATTAAATGCCCAAATATTACACAATCCCTGCCTGGTTTGTGTTGGAGGGGACCTTAAATCTTATCCACTTCCAACCCCTGCCTGCCACAGGCAGGGACACCTTCCACTAGAGCAGCTTGCTCCAAGCCATGTCCAACCTGGCCTTGAACACTGCCAGGGATGGGGCAGCCACAGCTTCTATGGGCACCCTGTGCCAGCGCCTCAGCATCCTCACTGGGAAGAAGGGTAATAAAAAATGAATCACACATGGGTGCCTGATCTGGGTGTCTTCATGACTTGCATTATCTTTGTCTGCCTTTGCAGCAATGGAATGGAAGGGACACAGCACTGATGGTCACTCGAGTGGTCAACCACAGGCGCTTTTCTGCCACGGTGAGCGTGGCTGATACCTCCCAGCGCAGCATCAGCAAGTACCGCTGCGTCATTCGCTCCGACGGTGGATCTGGAGTTTCCAATTATGCAGAATTAATAGTCAAAGGTAGGTTGCATTAAACCAGCCAGTTTATGCAAGATGAGTATTTTCTCCCAGATGGCAAATCTCTAGAAACCTGACAGCTTATTGGACCTTCTTCTTTCATTCATATTTAATTTAGGTGAGAAAAAAGGGTAAAAGTGACATGAATTTCAATCATTTTATCAAAAGGAATGTTTGAATTGAAGCTATGTCTGGATACAGCCCTCTTTGTAAGCTTTTGGTGTAGTGCATGGTAATTATGGATACTTTTACTGTAGTCAGCTAACAGTTTGGCTGTCAGTCAGCTTCATCTGCCTGCCTTTACAATACTTTATCAGGCATAAATCATCTTGTGATGGAGTATTGCACGTCAGAAGAGCCTGCTCAGGGCTGCTGGGAGTAAATGCTGGGATTGACTCTGCTGATGTCCTGAAGTACACAGTAGAACATCAGTAGTTCTTCAAGGATACTAGGGGCTTACCTTTGTTATTTACTGTGATTCAAGAGCTGATACTGTGCCTGACACATGCCAGATGTGTCTTAATCCTGCTTTTATATGGCATGGGTGAAGTGCTGTTCACTGAGCTGCTTTTCTCTTTTCTTTTTTAACGAACCCTGAGCTGCATCATGGGGACATTCAGTGACTCCTAGGTGGAGAGATCAGAAGGTGGCTCCGGAGACATAATGTATTTAGGGTGGGGATGATATGAAGTTAGAGGAGTTCAAAGTGTGGGATTGCTCATATTATAATTTCATTGATCTGTATGTTTCACTTCTGTGTGCAAATAGAGGGCTGCTGCAAAAATGAGATTTTTGTTCACTGTCCTGTTTCCTGCCAGCTTACTCTCTCATGTGGTGGTCAGTATGTTGATGCTTTTACAGTGCCTTGAATTTGTGTTGAAGAGTGTTGTGTGGTGCAGTTATTCAGACCACACAGATCACACTTCTGTTATATGCCAAGTGCTTTTAATTCCCACTTGGTAATCTTGCATCTTGTTCAAATCTGAAGAAATTAATTCATTCTCAGAATGGGACTGAGTTGCCAGGAATAGCATATCTAGTGTTGTATCATAGCTAAAGAGAGGGAAGGCAGTCTTCCAGAGCAGCCAAATATCAGCATATGCAAAGTTGAATAGGTGCCCAGCCCTTTCATGTTCATTGATATAAGAAGGGAAAAATCCCAGAAAGATAAGTTAGAACCATGAATAATGGTTGGATGCCCACCAGGAGAGACGTTGCTGGATTCACTGCCGGGTTACTCAGGCAGGCACCCAGCTACAAGAAATGTTAGTAGGGTGATTCAGTTATGGGAAGGTGCATCCTCCTTTCCTGGCTCTATGTAGGAAGCAGGTAAGGTTGGGTGGCTCAGTGGAGGTTACTTTGCTGCAGCAATGTGACATACTGGGATTGCATGGATGAGTGCTTCCAGAGCCTGACACTTGATTTTAGTGGGGATAATAGCAAATCTGTAATGCAGGCACATAGGCTGAGCTGAAAACAAACTGGAATTGTTTAATTCTGAAGAGGTGTTTATTGAATTACAATCATGTACTTGGGTATACATGAAATTAGGCTGTAATTGAAGTTTTGCTGAACTGAGAGTCCTGCCCCTAACCCGCTAAATCCAAGCTAATACTCAGCCTCTTATGTGCTTTTTCTCTTGATCAGCTGAACATCAAACCAAAGGGAGTTTCTTCAGCAGAGGTTAAGGTTAGAAGTGTGTCTGTGGATCTTTTTAATGTAAAGATCTGTTTGCTTCCCTGTGTGTGCAATCTTTTATTGTAGTATTGAGAAAGGAAAGATTAATTTATGTTGCTCTATATTGAATAATAAGATTTGGTAGACACAGAAAAAGAAGTTTTGCTTTGAAATACACATACTGCCTCAACCTAAATTGGAACAACAGAGACATATTTCAGCAAATGATCAGTTGAATTGAAAGCTGATCAATGAAATGAGACATCTACTTGCCGCCCCCCTTTCCCACCCCCAAGTCCTCCCCTTACATGTGTGTGTGAACATCTTTACTAAGGACAGTATCTTACTGTCAAGTAATTACTGAAGGCCTTATACTAAAGATCATCACTATGTTAGTTTCAAATCATTACAATCTATTGGGTGGCAGGAGATACATTGGTAGTGCTGTGAAAATGCTATTCTGTAGGCAGCTATTTGCTGTGTATGCTAATACCTCCCTGCTTCCTGACTCTGTTGCAAGGTTTGTATGAATGACAATACATTTGTTCTACTCTTTGCACTAGAATCATAATAGCCAAGCCAGAGAAACCTATCATTTCCATCTGTACACTTTACCATCCTTTGGTGCTCCAGTGAATGTAGGTCTTCCCTATTTGTTATCTCTCACCATTGCACATATAGCAATTTAAGCCAATTTTGTGCAGGCTAGTTTTCCACAAACCCTGCGGGTCTGATTCTCACTGCACTTATCACATGTGAATGGGAAGCTGCTTCTCTGTAATTTTCTTTTAAGTAAAAGCTGCGTGGCACTTGCTCATATTGTGAACTAAATGTAGGGCTTGCTTGTGTAAAATGGTTTAAAATACTGTGGAAATTGGCTGGAGTCTTACTATTTAAGGTCTCTATTAGTGATGGTGTCTTTCTAGGATGCCTGTCACATTAGGTAAGGCTGTGAATGACATTTTGAACTCTCTGCGTGTGTAGCAGGTTTGTTTGCAATTGTTTGTTTAGTTTTTTTGTCCTGATCCCTTTCAGATATGCTGGATACCGAAATCAATGATAGAGTCCCACAATGGTTTAGGTTGGAAGGACCTTAAAGTTCATCCAACCCCCGAGACTGGGGTGTTGATGTGAAGAGCAGACACTGCACTGCTGTTCTCCTCTTTAGCTGTCAGGGTGGCTGGAAGTCTGAGTCCATTCCCTGCCTTGGATCCACTTAGGAGATAAGTTTAGCTGTGATCTATGTGTCTTTTAGATTTTACTGTTTCAAACTACTTGTTCTAGTCTGCATTAATGAGTTCAGATGGGAATTTTCCTGCCTTCCAGCTACTTACCAGACTCACCTGGATCATGGAAGATGCAGTGTAGATTTGAATTCATCTGCCTGAGTAATGAACATTAATCAAGGTCCTCAAGGTTATCACCTTGTGAACAGGAGAAAGGCTCTTGCTCGTGCTACCCTCAGTGTCAGAAGCTGTGACAATGAGGGTTCCCCTTGGGCTGCCTGCTGCCTCCTTCCCTGTTCTTCCAGCTTACACAGGTAGATTCAGTCTGCAGAGTTTACATGTCCATGAGAAGCTATGTACAGGTTCGATAAAGCATGCAATGGTGCTGCTCTTCTGAACACCACCCCAGCACAGAATGGGGGTTGGGGGGGGGAGTGTCTGTGTGCCTGTGAGCCATTTAGGAAGGTTGTGCTGCCTTTGGAATTACTGAACAAGGGAGAATGGCTTTGTGATTGTGGGGCGTCTGGAAAAGCCCCTTACAGTCTGTTATTTCTGTGCAGTCTCAGTGGTGGAGACAATGCAATGCTCCCTTCCTTGGTGCTCTCATCTGCCTGGGAATTACTCGATCTTGTCATTGCTCTGTTTAATTGCTTGGTTCAGTGAGTTGTTTTACCTTAGTTTTTAATCATTCGGTGAGGGTGTGAGAAAAGTGATAGCAAAGAGATTACAAGCACTCCTCCACTCTTACAAGAGCTTGGACTCTTCTTTCTCTTCTTTCAGTCCAACCTAGCATCTTTCTGTGAAGTGGATTGGGGGTATAGGAAAACAAAGCCCATGCTTCGTAGACGTCAGTAGTTAGTATGAGCCGTGTGTGTTCCTTCCAAAGGAAACATTTCCTTCTCCTTCCGTTTAACCTCTATAATAGAACTGGCAAACGAAGTCATTTCCCTGAGAACTGATTAATGTCTACTGCAGAGATTGGATTCTGCTTTCAGAATAACACAAAGTGCCATGCAGGGGTGCTCCAGCACAGGGTAGAAATTAGAATAAGCATATCTAGGAAGGATCCCAGCTACAGCTGCGATAAGGGGTAGTTCACAAATGTGTATTGACAATTCACTCTATTTTGTTCCAACTTTTTAGATCTCTTCCTTCAGTAGCATTTCTTTTTCTATGTAACACAAGCAGGGAAGATTGGTTTAAACTTCATCTTGAAAGTTCCAAGTAGCCACATGGAAAATTATGATGACTTTCCTATCATACCACTGAGTTGTTTCAGGAATTTCTTGACAGATTGATGCTGTCCATCATTTGTGGGGCTTTGTTTTGGATTTTTTGTCTTTTTTTCTTCCTGAGACAAATGTTAGTCCAAGAGTTCTGATTTTATCCTGACTGAAATTTCACTTGAGACTAATAGAGAAATAGGCATGGGATGGATTTGCTTGGACTTGGTTTTAATGTGTAGATTTCTAAGTATGATGGTGCTGATGGTGTATTGACTAAATACAAGATGTAAATACAGTAATAAACAGAGAAAGACTAAGGAACGATCTTTCTGAAGCAGAAGGGATTTCAATAAGCACCCTTCACTTTTCCAAGGATGAAGAGTGTTATGGGAAGCTGTTTCATCCTTCCTTGTTTGTGGAATTGTCCCCAGCCTCCATGATGCACAGTGGATACCAGTTGATGCTGTGAGCAGACAGCTCATGTCAGCAGTGGTTCTGAGTGGAAGTCATGGGGAAGGAGTCCTCACTGCACCTAGAGAAATCACTAGTAGCCCGTAGTAGTGAGAAGGTACCTGATAGTTATTTCTTTTTCTCTCTCTCAACACTCTGAGAAATAGCTTCTCCTTATTACATGAAGCTGTAAGTAACTTGGTGAAAGATTTGTTTTTTAAATTTATCTTTGATTGCAGTTACTTGAACTGTGCAACTGCAAGATTCCCTGTGGGGAGAAGGGAGCTTCTTGTTGCTTTGGTTAGTAGCTGTCTTTTGTACTTCATCTGTCATGGTTCTTCTTCCCCCCATTCAAAGGGAACAGAGGGAATCTCCAAAGAACAAAATAGTGACAGGAGAAGCAGCACTGCAGGGGTAGATCTTC